CGCGGCGGCCTGGTCCGTGGCGGCTAACAACAACAACAACTACAACAACAACAACAACAACGGCAACAACAACGGCAACAGCAGCAGCAAAAATTTGCAATTGAACCTTGCGCGAAGTCGCTCACTAGGTGTGAAACAGACCCGAAGATCAAAACATGACTCTCTCTTTCTCGCGGACTCAGAGGTCTGTCAGCCGCGCGGCCCATGACTAACTACCAGATGTTTGACGTTGTGGCTCTACGCGACCGATCGCTGTGCGGCCTCGTACTAGAGCCGGCAAGCACCTGCGACCCCTTCCCCATCTCCACTGCGGCTGCCCCGTATCCGTAAGAACTATCAATCACTTGAGAGGTTCAGGAGGACTTCCACACAACAGGACCACGGTCTGAGCCCGGGCTGTGCCTGCTTGAATACCAGTCAAGAGCAGGAGCTCTGCGGCTGAGCCCAAAACTCTTAAGCAGTAGCAAATTGGCTTTGCACTTCGTGCGGCTCTTTTGTCCTGATCTTCAACGGTATTGTCACGACAGCACAAAACGAGAACGGCACTCTTGGTCGGTGCCTTCGCGAAGAAAGCGCAGTGAAGTACAGGAGGCCGAGCCACCAACGGGCTGATGTCAGAGGCCCACGGCGAAACATCATCGATATTTCCAGCTCCATTGACTGGAAGACCAAATTGTGGCCAGACCAGCCTGGAACCAACCTTTCTCCTCTCTCTGGCGTTTGTCTGTGGAGGGCGCCACGGTCTCGGACTGCTGCTTGTCTCGAGCCAGCGCGCTTTCATACTGTTGCCTGAGTGTATCCAAACTCGTGATCTTTTTTATCTTACGAACCCGCGTGCCATCCTTGTTGGGCATGAAGATGATCATGCGATTGAATATGCCGCAGGTCCTGCAGGAGACTTCCGGAGCTACCGAGCGCGCTAAGTGCCCGCACCCACCTGTAAACCAGGGCTCGATCCACCATGGCCTTGAGCCAGAACAACGACAACCAGGACGACGACCACGACAACAACAACAACAACAACAACAACACTACCACCACCAGCAGCAGCAGCAGCAGCAGTTTGTTGCTGTTGCTATTGTTGTTGTTGTTGCTGCTGTGGTTGTTGTTGCTGCTGCTGCTGCGGCTGCTGCTGCTGCTGCTGGTGGTGGTGGTGGTGGTGGTGTCGTGGTTGCTGTGGTTGTTGCTCTGCTTGTTGTTGTTGCGGTTGCGGTTGTGATTGCCATTCTCGTTGTACTGGTGGTGGAAGCGGCAGTAGTCGGTAGTAGTGGTAGTAGTAGTAGTAGTAGTAGTAGTAGTAGCAGCAGCAGCAGGAGTAGTAGTAGTAGTAGTAGTAGTAGTAGTACCAGCTATTGATCGTTCGGGTTCAGACTTAGTGGCTCGGCTGCCAAGTTTACAACGTCGTTCTCGCGAACCTCGGCAAAGGTGTCAACCACCTGGGATTTCAGCGAGCTCTTCGCAGCATCTCTGGACTTCGGGCTCCGCTTAAATCAATGCTGCCACGCGAACACCGCCCCCCCCCCCCAGTATCCCACGCTGCCCAGCTTTAGGCCTAGGCCTAGGCATATGACATTCTCGACTCGCAACACCTTCAAACAGCCAGCCACAAAAGTACAGGTTGATTCACAGGTTCATGCTTCTCGCGAGCAACCCAGTGGCATACTGCAACCGTCAGGCCCATGCCGGCACTTTTGGTGCATGCCAAGTGTCGACGGCAACCATGAGCTGCAGTACGCCAAAGACCTGGACGGATTGAAGACTCGCAGTTCGTTTCACTGACCCAGGCAATTTCGCCGGGAGTCATGTTTCCAAGTGACTCTTACCGAACCACAGGCGAATATGACATGAACGTGGACAAGTCTCCCTTTCCTTTCAGGCAAGCGTCCAGAGTAAGGAGGGAACCCACAAAAATGATTGCTGTTGCTGGGTGGTCCTGTCATGCAACAGGAACATCAGACTAGCTCCATTTAAGAAGTTGCAAAGTCAGGCGGAACATGTGCTGACATGCACCACAGTCAATCGATTGAATGGGATTCCGGCCTGTATGACAGGTATTGCGATCAGACCCCAGCTGTCTCCCGCCACCACCGTCTTGAATAGCAACCTAGGCATGCCTATTGTTTTACTGCTGCGAGATGCAACACTAAAGGTGCATCACACGCATCATGTCCCATGGTGTTTGCCACCAAGCGTCAGGTTGGCATTCATGACAGAAGATGCTGCTTGCAAGCACGGGCGGCCACAGTCACCAAAGACGTTCGTTCGCTCGTGAACATCATGGATGAGGGGATGGACGATCTCAACCATCAACATGGCCCACATCGTCATGACCACGAATCCAAACAGGAAGCTCCAAACCAAAGTTTTGAGGCATGTTGCCAACATGGTCACCTGCTCAAGGCCCTTTAAGCGCAGTCTCGTGTGTGGTGGAAAGCTGTGGGAAAGCAGCTTGAGCGCTGTTTACACTGTGTCCCACGAGCAGCTGCTGCGCAACATCCCTGGCGGTTGCTGTGAACTCGCTAAACCGCTTCATACCGCTAGTTGAAGAACGACAACGACTGCCAATCGAATAATGCATGCATCCCTATACAAACCCTTTCACAGAACGTGAACAAACAAGCTCACAGCAAAGTGATTTTGTGAGGACCGATAGATTCGCAAACAAAATGAAAGCAGTAGAAAATCGAAGTGGCCACGCTCTTGAAAAAGTTGAACTGCAAAGCACCAACATGATCAAGTCCTGTCAACCGAAGAGCATGAGTCTCTTTCCTGCTTGCGTGTCACCGGTGACTCGATGGAACGCCGGCGTTCGTGTCCATCGATTCCTCGCCGTATCCTAGACTGCCTCGACGAATGCTGGTGCACCAATCGTCAGGAACGAAGCCGGACTCGTCATCGAAGTCTTCGAGGTCTTGTCGCGTTTGATCGCCAGGAGGTCGTAGGGAGGAAACGACACACTGCAGAATGTACAGTCGATGGACTTCTACTGGATCTCAGCGCCCCGGTGATGTGAGGCGAATCGAACATACTCTTCCTCCAAGGCATTCATTGACTCCCCAGAATCAATCCCTCGTCAACTTTTTGACTGGTGAGTTGGTGCTACCACAAGGATCGAAGTTCTTCAGCTGAAGCACACGGGTACGAGGCCCCGCGTGCTTCTCAGAAGCCACTTCGAGAAGCTATGATTCTGAGGGTCGCCAGCGTCGGCTCGGAGTCCTTGTAGCGGCGGCGGTGATTGATTCGACGACCTTCTTCGGTGTCCGGGTTGATGTTTGCTAAGTTGACGGCGACACGATGCACTGGTTTGCTCTCGGAGCTCGCCCGGGGAAACTGATGTGCTCGATCTCCATGGGTCCAGCCATGTCAAGGGGGGACGAGCGAGAAAGCGCTCGAAACGAGGATCGAGAGCAAGGCTAGAGCAGCCACAGAGTTTCCAAGAAGACGATAGGCCCCGAAACGACTCATATAGCGAGCAAGCGAAGGTTCGGGTCTGTTCGGCTGGATTCAGGTTTGGTCGGGAAAATTCGGAAAATGCAACCTCGAAGGTCGAGGACCTGGGCGGCAGGCCATTCCTGTGAATCATCGCGGCGGAACAAAGAGAGGATCACTTCGGCTTAGAGCTGATGCAATCGACAATCGTGTTGACCCTGGCATACATTAGCCTCAACGTTGCATCAAGAAATCAGCTGAGCAGCTTCGGCGAAAAACTGCCTCAGGCCTCTTGAAGCTCAGGACTCGAACATGACGAGGTACACCCTGGATCTACAGGGCTGGGGCGGGAGGATCCATTGGGTTGCGAAGATGCATCGGCTTCGCCTTGGCGGAACAGCGTCTTCTGTGCACCACCATGTGCACCACCAAAATCACTCGAAGCTTTAGCCCAAATTGCCACGGATTCGAACGAAAAGAAGTGGATAGTCAGGACATGACCAAATCCTCTCAGTCGAAGAGCACGAATCGGTCCCGTTGTCACTTCGAACATAAGTGTTCTACCATTCTACACTAGCTCAAAAGAACACGTTATACGATAAGTTAGAGAAGATGGATGGGTGCAACGTGCCCATAACCGATGTGCAGTGATAAGTAAGGCAATAAATGGATCACAATGGCTGGGGAACGGTAACCTACAACCGTGATGCAATAGCTATAGCCTATCTGTGGCTCGAGACTTAGTTTGGACCCGTCCGGCCAGCTTCTGCAGCTCCTTCAACGAGCGCGTCTTCCTCAAGAACTGCATGAGGCGAATAATTCTTGCCAGACGAAGCGGGCGCAGCATGTTGATGTTGATCCTGACAGACACGAAGGCTTCAATCTCAGTTGTCGCTGTCTGAGTTGTCAGGCAACCAGCAGGGTCTTCACAAGACTGCTCGGGCGTTGCAACTGGCAAAGAACTGTCGCGCATCAGCACAACATGCGTTTGAAAAAGATGACGACAAGTCCTAGGACTGGCGCGATGCAAAAGGCTTTGGCTGTGGAGGCGCCAAGCATTGTGCCGCTCAACATTTCCTAGGTTTGGTCACCTCACATCCAAGAGCGCAACGTCCGTACGGCGCCATCGAGTGCATGAGATTCTCTGATGCATGCTGTGGCCTATGTGGCCTTTAGTCCCGGCAGCATGTACGTGAAAAGCCTGGTGCCTGTGAGAGCAGTGTTAGTTTTCACTGGCGAGGCCCGAGCCCACACGTCCGGAGCTTGGAGACTCTGTCGGCAGACTTAACGATTGCTGGCTTGTGTTCTGTTGGGATTTCAAACGGTGATCATCTACTTGGGACCTCTCGCCGCTCCAGCAGGACAAGACTTCTTCCTGCATGCCTGGATGCGATACGGAAACTTTTCCTAAGCCGGAACCGTGTCCTGGACGTCAACGCATCCCCCGCGCTGGTCAACACCCACTCAGCGTATCCACACGTAATAATGACCTGACGGACATTCCAATCTATCAGTGCAGTGCAAGCGGAAAGGGGCATCGGTATTGGATTCGTCCGAGGATCGATGTCGAGCAAAACCATCCAATCTTTCAGCATGCGGCGCCCTCGAACGAAAAACAGTAGGGGCAGCTCGGCTGTGTAGAGCAGGAGGCATATGTCAGAGCATGCGCGCACAAATGCCGAAGGCTCTTTTCCGGCAGCCCTGGCATCAATATCATTTGCCGTGAGGTACGCATCGAAAAGAACCACGAGAGCCAGACTGTTTGTGTTGTAGTTGTTGTCGACACAGTACTTGGCCCAGCGCCGGGCCTTCGCAATCCAAGAGCTCCCAAGCTCGTGCTGTTCTTTCCCCGGGGAAGCCGTGATGAAATCGGCTCCCATGCTCTGCTGTCGCCGTCGCAGTCTCCGGTTTGAGAATTCGTCGGAAGTGCTTTGTACAGTGGGAGAGTGCGCAGTTAGATAGCTGGAGCTCTTGCTTTCGCACCCTTCAGCGATGGCTGCGAGCTCCTCCGCACAGAGACGCTGCGAGTTGTGTTGAGGATGATTTGAAAACTAATCAAAGGCAGAAAATGCTAGACGCAATATGAGTGTCGCTCTACGACTCATAAACTCATGGCACCTTTGTCGATATGTGGCCATTCGCACTTGATAAGGGGCTTAACTCCTGTTCTTTCCTCAATCGGTGCTCCTTTAAAATCTTGAGAAGCTGTTCAGTAGGGAAGTTGAAGCAGGCTTTCTGAATCCGGCTTCCCCGTCTCCTCAAACCCCTAAACCCATGGCCAGCAAAGCCGAACACCTTAAATCGAAAGCCACAGCCACGAGAGTACTGGCACACCCATAACAAATTAACCGGCACTCCAGAAAGAGTAGTGGCAGAACCGGAAGGCGAAAACGCCTGAGAAGCAGACCTGAGTGAAAGGCCCTACTGCCCACTCAGCTCGTAACGGACCCGAAAGCGTAGGTTCGAGATCGGGTCGGAAGGTGAGCGGCGAGGCGCATACAAACAGAGTGGTAACACTGTTAGACTGCTAGACTATATGGCACTACGTGGGTTCTTGGGCTGACGGTACAGGAACTAGCTGGCTGTTGGCGCGAGGCGGTGCGGTCTTCCACTGGTCTTCTCGGTCTGGTCGTTCAACGTGCGGAGGTCTGGTGGCATATTCTTGTGCCGAGTATGTGCGTGTATCTCTGCTTGTATTAGGTTCTATTGTTGCTAATTTGCCCTAGCGAAGCGCAGGAGCCAATAATGGTCCAATGCAGAACAAGCTGTCCAACTGCGTAGTGCAGCATGTCTGCCACTCTGGCCGGTGAGCTTTCGAGCAGGCGACGACGGCAGCCAACGCAAAATGGCAGCATGCATGCCTTTAAACAAACAGCAAGCCATCTGGCACTGTGCATGGTTATTGGTTCAAAACATGACATAGCTCTGTTGGCCCTTCTTCCAAATGTGGCTCCTGCTTCTGCGACTTCGTTTCAATCCGAAGCCGCTCCAGCCGCTCGGGTAAGTCACCATCGAGAGAGTTCGAGCTCTGCATCGGGGGTTCTCGTGCCATGGGCGCCATGGCATGGAGGCACACAAGGAGCCCTCGCGGCTGCAGCAAGACTCGTCACGACCTGCATCCTCAGTCCGAACATGGCAGCACCGGAACCCCACATGCAGCGTGCTGCTTTGAAGCTTGCCGGTGAAATACCCGCCCGGTTGCTCAACCACTCGTGGAGCTTGCTGGTGTGCATCCTCCTGAAGTTTGAGCTTCCGGGCGAAGAGTGCAGAGAGGCTGGGATCTCTCTCTATATATATATATATAGTGATACATATATATATATATATGTACACACACACACCTATCCTTACTTCGGGGCATGTGAAGGGGCGTGGTCCAAGCCGGATCTTCCCAAACCGAACAGCCCTAGCAAAACAAACTGCCCACTATGCACCTTCAGGCTCGCTCCAGCCTCATTCGTAAACATTCCCCCCGAACCACGTCCAGGCTTTCCACGGCCCCTGGTTTCACCGTGACCCATGACATCGATTCCAGCACGAACGAATGACACGAGGCATTGCCCCCAAAACCTTTACCGAAGCTCCTGGCTGCTGGCATCCACATCATTCAGATCCAAATCCTGCAAGACTCCGGAGCTGTCAAGGAAAAGTGCACACACACACACAGAGAGCTCTTATCTGATGTCAAGACAGCCCGGTTGAATTTGGGTCAACACAATGCAGCACACCTTGACACCCTGCCATTCCTGGTAAGGCTTGGCGGATGTCGCGACTGTCGGGACGTTCTGCTCGTGGCCTTGTTCGGGCTGCGTCGGAGTCCTTGCCGTGGGAACACCCCCAAAGGCCAAACGCTGTCCGTCATCATCCGGTCTGAAACAGGAGTTGGTCCTGGGTGCATCGCTTAAAGGTCCATAATGATAGATTGCGTAGAAACCTGGGCTCAAGGAGCTCACACAGGCGATGGGAGAAGTGATGGACATGTCCAGATTGTCGCAGGGTGCAGAAGCCGGCCGGCAAGGAGATGGAGGTCAGAAAATTCCAGGAAAAACCACGATGCTTTCTTCGCATAGCATGCACACTTGGACGTCATAAGCAATACCTCAGCAAGGCAGTCCTCGTGTTTTCGACAGGAGCAATGTAAGACCGCTTTTTTGGGGAGCTCTCCGCCTGAGAGCTGCACATGACGGTCACGATACCGCCAGATCAAGTGGTCTACATTTGCTGCACGACCCGTTCCAACAGATTTGTACTCTCACGGTGACGAGTCAGAAACCGACCCTGTAGTCTATGAGTCTATGCTGGGTTTCGACCGGTTTGTACCTAGTTCTCATCCCTTCCGGAAGGCTGGAGCCCGGAGCGGCGCAAGAGGCAGAGCCTTTTGCCGAAAGCTCCCACACTCAACAAGAAGACATGCGAATAAAATGCTAAGGCATTGATGAAAGTAACATGCAGTCTCCAGCTGGACCTTTCAGAGTCGCGGTATGCGACGGATGCATCAGGCTTGCATGGTGCGTTTCGCCGGGACACGAGCAGCAGCTGAGCAAGCTTCTCTTTTCCCCTACGGCCACCTCTCGTTTGTAGCCCGAACTGACCCTGGTCAGTAGAGCTTCTCGAGCAAAACCTCCTGCGAGAATCCTGCGAAGGTGCAGCAGCTTCTACTTGGTAGAAGTGCAGAGAATGAATTTGACAGGGATACTGCGACACCTGCGACGTTCTTGAATCGTTCACGCCCTTTTGTCAGCAAGGCAGAGGTTGAAGCACATCCGTTATGAGGGCACCGATACTGCTTCATGCTGCCGCAGGTCACTCGAAAACCGAGGTCGGCAAGTACATGCTTTGCCGTGGCTCTCAGAGTGTGTCGCTCTGGACAGGAAGTGCTTGACGGAGGGAACGCTCAATACAAGTACCGCAGGCAACTTCGCTTGTAAGGCCTTTGTAGGCTGCATCAGCCACGAATAGAGTTCATCTCTGAGTTGCGACCGACTTGAATTTCTTGCTGCTTTATAATCCTATAGTACAATACAGGGCTTGCTGAGATCGCCCTTTGGCACAAGCACGTCTCGTTGTGATGCTTGAAAGCTGGAAGCTTTGGGGGAACATTCACCGTCAGGCATTCCTCGAAAAGACTCATTGAGTTGAGCCTAAAGCTTGGGATTTGCAGCCTTTGGCTTTGCACTGCCAAGCCCGGGTGGTCCTTCCGACGCTGCTGCAGTGGTAAGTAGCAATGTCTCTTGGATCTCACTCGCAAGTTTGAAGATTCGAGGAGGAGGCTTTAGTAATTCGAGCCGCGTAAAGTGAGAGAAAGCAGCACGCTGCAGCAGCTCGGCATGCTTTCTAAGACCATGTGCAGCTAGCGTTGCTGTTGAACACCATGGCACACCTGCTGCTGTTACGACAAGGTCTTCCCCCCTATATTCGCTTCAGACATCTTGCCACCACCTGGGACAAACGTCGCTGTTCATGTCTCTGCAACTGGTATGTCACATACCGTCACATACCACACCATGGTCACTGATGGGCTATCGTCCAAGTCCGCGCCTGATCCGTGCGAAGCAAAGGACGGGCAGCTTTTTGGAACAACGTCGGCAGAAATTGCAATCGAGAAGGATGATTCCAGAAGTGGATTCAAGCACACCCGTCGACGCTCTTATCTCGTTGGACCTCGACATCATCAAGCAACTGCACTAGCAGAAGCAGCACATGACCGTGAATGGATTCGTGTGTCAGACAGGACGGCTCAAGAACATCCAGGATGTTACAGCGGGTGATATACGGACCGAGGCACTTGGTATGCTGCTCGGGGGCGCCGGAGGTGCTGGCACTACAGCACCTGCCATAACACGAATTTGACGGCATCGCCAAGACTGAACATCTTCGAGGACTTGTAGGCTCCAAACTGAGGCTCTGAGGCTCATGCATATGGAGCCCTTTCGATTCGTCTTCGCTGGCGGTGGGGGCGCTTCTTCCTGACAGGAACTGTAAATACATCCAGTGCCAATCCGTGCAGCGAGAGCCGAGGAAACGGATGACACCAGCAAGAGAGAGCACTCTTTAGCTGCAGGCTGTTTAAGCGCTGACGTGCGCTCAAACCTACGACGGCTACAGTTCAATATGCTGGCATGCCGACAATCGCTGGCAATGCCTGTCACCACAATGCAGGCACCAGGCTTGCCGACCTCGGAATCACCGCCAAGTCCTGATCCACTGTCGGAGTCGGAGGCCGCTTCCTTGAGCATGCAAAGAATGTGAAGGTAGTACCTGTTGGTGAGAATGCGTGTGCCTCCTGCCGCTGCAGCTGCATCCGGTCCACCAGCGCCTGCGCGCAAACTCATCACCGTTATTTACAAACGCATGACTTCCATCCATCTTCGTGGACTCAAGCTACCTGACGCACTGCACACGATATCCCATGATGGCCGGAACGGTCGTCAGCACGGTCGTTGTGTCAGCAGGTGCCTATTGTTGGTTGCCAGGTCAGTGTTCCTAGTTTCTGTCGATCGGTCTTCCGCCAATCGCATTGGTCCAGTCATGAAATCCTGTTGGATGTGCCCATCGATGCTTCCTGCCAGTTGAAGCAAGGGCAACGAACTAAAGCAAGAGAAAAAGCTGCAGTAGCAGTAGCAGTAGCAGTAGTAGTAGTCGCGCAGCAGGAGGAGGACAAGGAGGAGGAGGAGGAGGAGGAGGAGGGGCGGCGGGTGGTGGGGTGGGTAATGGGGGTGTGAGTGGGGATGGGGTGTGGGTGCGGGCGGGCGTGGGCGTGGGTGTGGGCGGGTTGTGTGGGGTCGGTGGGCATGGGCGGCTTCAGCTGTAGCAGTAGTAGTAGTAGTAGTAGTAGTAGTAGTAGTAATAGTAGTAGTAGCAGCAGCAGTAGTAATAGTAGTAGTAGCAGTAGCAGTCGCAGTAGTCGTCGTAGTCGTCGTAGTAGTAGTAGTAGTAGTAGTAGTAGTAGTAGTATAGTAGTATAGTAGTATAGTAGTAGTAGTATAGTAGTAGTAGTAGTAGTAGTAGTAGTAGTAGTATTGCATTGCCGAC